AAATAAGCTTGCACAAGTAAAGGCACGAGATAACCAAGAGTGGAGCCGATGGAGACGAGGATGTGTTACCGAAGTTCCTTCCTTTTGAGGGGAAGTACGTCTCCGTTAGAGCGGTGTGGAGGCACAATGCTCCCCAAGAAGCCACTAGGGCCACTGTATTCTCCTCACGCCCTCACACAATGCGAGATGCCGTGATTCCACTATTGGTGCCCTTGAAGGCAGCGACCGGACCTTTACAAACAAGGTTGGGGCTATCTCCACAACTTAATTGGAGGCTCCCAACGACACCACGAAGCTTCACCACAATGGACTATGGCTCCGCGGTGAACTCAACCGTCTAGGGTGCTCAAGCACCCAAGAGTAACAAGATCCGCTAGGGATTAGTGGGGGAATCAAATTTCTCTTGGTGGAAGTGTAGATCGGGGCCTTCTCAACCTATCCCGAGCAAATCAACAAGTTTGATTGGCTAGGGAGAGAGATCGGGCGAAAATGGAGCTTGGAGCAACAATGGAGCTTTTGGGGGAAGAGATGGGTGAACTTTGGGGAAGAAGACCCATTTATATAGTAGGGGGAACAATCCAACCGTTACCCCCCAAACAGCCCCGCAGAGAGCGGTACTACCGCTTGGGTGGGCGGTACTACCTCTGAGCCAGCGGTACTACCGTCCCACCTAGCGGTACTACCGCGCACAGGAGGGATGCAAGGTCCTGGACCCAGAGCGGTACTACCACGGTGGTAAGGGCAGTACTACCGCTTGGGAGCGGTACTACTGCCTCTACTGCCGCAGCTAGTGCCGCAAAACCCGACACGAGAAAAAGAGGCCTCGAGTCGAGGCGGTAGGAGCACGGAGCCTCAGCGGTACTATGGCGGAAGACAGCAAGCGGTACTACCGCTGAGGAGCGGTACTACCGCTTGTTGTGCTTAGGCGGTACTACCGCTGTGGCCCGCGGTACTACCACTGGGACCAGACATAGCAAACAAGGAGGGGAAGGAGTACTCCATTGAAGCGGGAAGGATCAGCGGGTGCGATAAGGATGTGTACATGTTGATTCCACCCTAGACTTACCAAAGTGGATCCCCTCTTGATAGTACAATGACTCCTACAAAACTAGTCCACCAACAGAGAAACGAAAGAGTCCACCAACATAGAAACGAAAGAGTTGCACCGTCTTGAATAAAACACCGAGGGGAGGGAATCGTCTCATGCCAAAGGATGAATCTCTGAAAATCTCGACGCACACGATTAGTCTGCAAAAGCATTGTCATCAATCACCAAAACACCTTGGGGATAAATATGCCCTTACACTAGACGACGAGGAAACATGGCTCGATGAGGCGATGTGACCCTGTGTGGCTGCAGGATGATAAGCTTCAACCGACCCAGCTCCAGCACACCCAAGCAGGCCTACCAGCTTGTGACAATGCTCCACCAACTTCTGCACTCACAGTGAAACAAGGGCATAATAAGTATTAGATTTATGGTTGCAAGTGAACAAGATGCATTTGTTCCGAGGAGGCTGAAATTGTACCTTCGTCGTCCCCCTCAATTTGTTCTCACATTGGGAATATCACCTAGTGCACCAGAGGCTTCAAAGATGCATCTGTTCAGCTCATCGGACTGTAGAGGCATAAGTCAGTCACGATGATGAATAAAATAATTTAAATACAACCGTCGGTTCAAACTTACCACTCTGTTGATGAGGGGTGCAAACTCCCTAAATCCACTATGCATGTCTTTGATGTCGGTCTGGTAGGCCTCTTCCTCGGGGTCATCCATCTCCAGCTCCGCGATGTCTTCTGTCGTCCACCAAGGCCTGAGACGAATACAGTGCTTATGGCCATCATCGTACCACCTCATGTGTTGGTCCTCGTATGCATTACAGTCATTCACTCTCCTCTCCACATCTTTACGGAACTTCCGCCGGTTCCACTCTGTCACATGAGTTTTATGCTCCTCTCCCCAGTCTGTGATCGGCTGATTCTTTTGCCGGCTCATCCTGCAAGGCATTAGCAACAAGAAACATCATAATAAAGTCGAATGCAATGAAATCATGGGCACGAAGAACAAGTGCGGGCACTCACAAGTGGAGCGTGTGGCCGCCGGTATCGGTCGGTTGGCCCGGTGGGGTATGCTGATACATCCCAAACTGCGCAGCCACGCGGTGTGGCAAGTGCCACTCGACGGCGTACATACAGATCATGGGCACGATGCACCGCCAAAGAGCACGGTCCGCGTCGCACATCAGTTCAGATCAAAGTCCCACTCTCGATCATGATACGGCCACCAGCTTACCTATTACATATACATTGCTAAGTTCCCACTCTCGATCAAAAGTGGAATCAAAGAGAAAGGTGGTGAGCGAGTTCATATACCTGCGTAACCGTCAAAGCGTCGATCTCGTTGGTGTAGGCCTTGTATGAAGTCTTGTTTAGGCCCGTGTAGAGTTTGACAACGTCCCACTCGTAAGCTACGGTGGGGTGTCGAGTAGCGTCGCCGTCCTCGCTATAGGCACCCATGGGCGTCTTGGCAGCTTCTTCGGACGCCCCACCGGCAGCGCTCCCACATCCAAATGGAGAGGCCCCAGACAAAGCCACCCATACTGGACTTGTCTCCCGTCCTCTAGGTTGCGTCGTCAAGCTGCAAAACATCAAATGAGGATCAGATATAACAAAATTTTCATGGACATACTTCTGTAGGTAGGAAATGAGATACTCTCTTACCGAACGGTATAGGTAGGCAAGAGATGCGGTCCCCCAACTGTACCCTGCATCCCAGTCGGCTAGGAAGAACAGATATGACCAGTTGGCAGAGTTCCCGGAGCTGTCTGGAAACACGACCTCCGTGAGAAGATACCACGGGTAGGCCCTCGCGTACCACTCCACAGTCACCTCATCGGTGTCCTCGGGGCATGTCTTCCGGTGCTCCGAGAGCCAGGGCAACGGTACACCGGATGTACGGTTACCCTTAGCATCAGGGCAGTCGCCGATGAGGGTGGTAACCCTCTGCTGCTAGTTGGTCCTCTCCACTCGCCCAGTCAGTGCTTGACCATCGATCGGCATGGCAGTAATCATCGCCCAATCCTCGAGGGTCACCGTCATTTTCTCGCATGGGAGATGGAAAGAATGGGTCTCCGGTCGCCACCGGTCAATCAAAGCTATCAGAGTTGCGTGGACAAGTGTCAGGGGCTGACGCTTGAACTGCAACACGAAACCCAACAGTCGGGCTCTCTTGAAGTACGGCGCGTAGCGCTCATCGTAATCCATATTCTAGGCAACCTCGTGACCCCTCATGCGCAGTGGATGGAGCACCTGTCAAAAAGTGGACAGTAAGAGTTAGGAACTTATTTTCATCAATCCGAAAACTTTGATCAATATTTCCTTCATATTGCTTACCACTCCGTTCTCTATGAAACGGGCACGATGACCCTTGTCGAATGCGTAGTCAAGCATGGAGTACCATGGGCCAACGTTGTTCGCAAGAGGTGCCCGCCTTAATAAAATTTCATAAACAAAAGCATCATAAGCATACATAAACAAAAAATAAAGTTTCTTGGTTAAATGAACTAGGGTTCATCTTAAGCATATTCCTCCGACAACATCTACTACACATGATGGATCACATCATATCAACATGCATCATATCAAAATAAAATCCTCTAACATGCATCATATCATCAATCTTTTAACATTTTTTTAAATAGAGTTCATCTTGAATGTATTTTCTCCAAACAACATCTTCATATCATCATATCAACATGCATCATAAAACAAAGCAAGTCCTCCCACATGCATTACATCATACTTTTTTTAACAAAAAAATTTATGAACTAGGGTTCATCTTCACACTAACATATGAACTATTGATTAGAGTCCATATTCAATACCACTAGTTACTAAAGAACTAAGAACTAGAACTATAATCAAGCTAAAACAATCCTAGGTGAAAAAAAATCCAATCTAAGTTCAAAAAGATGAGGGATTTCAAGCAAATAATGTGTCGAATCGGAAGCAAGTTTGCAAAAACTACTTGGACGGATTGGAGGAGCTTACGTTTCTCTCTTCGGGACCATCTCGATCCGCAAAAACAATGCAAAAACGGTGAAGATCCGAGGGGGGAGTGGAGGAGATGAGAGAGGGAGAGAGGGGCGAGGGGGGAAAGAAAGAAACTGCCGACGGCGAAGGGGGAGGGGTGGGAAGATAGGCAGGGGCAGGGGGTCGGGCGAAATAACTGCTCGGCTGTATAACCCTACCGACAGCAACCCTGGAGGTAAGAAAAAGGGTCAAATCCCAAAAAAAAAATCAAACCGGGGTCATATCCTAAATTTGTATACGAGAAGGGTCAAAACACGAAATTTTGCCCAGCGGGGCTATATCGTCGTACGGGTAAGGAAGCTGCCTTCCGCTCAAGAAGGCGCATGCCACGTCAACTGGATCAAAGGTCAACATCCAAACCAATACCATTATACCAATACCACTTCTGTTTTTGAAGTTAATATAATATCATTACCACTCAAAAACCACCTGAGGCGGTGATTTACCTTGTTTTAAAAATGTGACGGTGTGAAAATTAATAGCAAATTCGAGTTTAGGGAATTATTTGTCCACCTACATACATTTGGCGGTGAAAAATACTGTCCCCCCTTTTTCCTCGCTGTAAGATAGCTGAATTAAAATTAGCATGCAGATCTGTTATAAAAAAAAAGAGCATGTAGATAGAGGCACATCGGAGCACCACAGCCTTCTAGTCTAGTGACGATGTAATGTTGCTCTGCAGTCAGAATACTCCCAACACATGCGAATGATCCAATACACAAACTAAACGGTACATTCACAAGACAGGTAGGAGGGGCTATGACTTCCGAAATATCTTAACTTAGGCAGTTAGGCTACAGCAAAGCAGAAAACTAACGGGTAGGACCTCAGACTTAGCAATATCTTGATTTGCCGTACAGCAAAGTTGGAAACTAACTGCTTGTTAGTAACGCTAGCCAAAACCCACCTCACTCGGATTCACAACTATAATCATCACTGTCATCTTCCTCATCACTGTCGTCATCAAAGTCGGTATAGATCCAGTCATCTTCTCCCAGATGTCCCACGCAATCTAATGCCCTGGACGAGGTCCTGATGATAGTGCAGTTGGTGTAGAACTGCGAAACGTCTGGACAGGGTTCATCTTCGTAGGGATCTATTCCACACACCATCTTCTGAAACTCCAAGTCGCGCCCTTTGAATGGGAATTCCTCCATAGCCGGGTGCACAATTTTAGTACCTTCATAATCACAGTACAGACAGCGGATTTCTTCTGAAGCACACAAACAAGATAGCAAGATTAGAACCCATCAAAGACTTTAGCATAACCTATCAGCAATAAAAAACAAGTAATTGCAAAATGACATTTCTGAGTAACTCAGTTTCCCAACTATCTATGCATGCATAGATGGTGTTTATTTTTGTGGAACTCAGACACTTCTGAGTAACTTTATACCCTAACCATTTCCTATTAATCACTAACTGCGAGAAATTGGCTGATCATGCAAACATCAAGGTGGGATTACCCCTGCTGATATCTGACTAAAAACAAGTCTGCAATGCATACAAGTACTCAGTGATAGTGCACTAGCTGACATAGGGCTCCCTGCTATATGGGGTTCAAAGATGGGGTTTTCAGCAAACTATATTACCACTCCAACACAAGACGAGGGACCAAAAGGATTATCATGCCACATCATAAATTGCTATCCTGTACTAGCTTAAACGGCTGATGACCCACTTGAATGAACTTTAAGAACCTATAAATGTGCAATTTCCTAACAACAGGCAACCATCATGCATTTTTTTAAAATGATTTACACAGCAATATATTGCAATTGAATCTACTTCAAATGAAGTATGCAACTCAAAATCTGAACTCAGGTCAAGATTCATTATAATTTATAAGTATTTATTTAAATAGGACATGAAAAAACTGATAAGCAACACAAAGAAACATTCTAGTTATGTATCCATGGAATCATCGATAAGCATTGATGTTCGTAATCTTGAGTACTTCAATACTCATGCACAACGTTTGTTGGATCATCAGGTTGGTTGAGACAAAATGATGGGACTTAAGTCTACTACTTTAGTCTATCTATACCAGCAGTCTTCGACAAGTATTACTCACAAGTTTTGATGCTCACTGACAACGTGTACCAAGATGGGGCCAGAATGTGTGTTTACAAAAAACTGGTATGATCTATTATGATTATCTACCAGATAAATCTAATTCATAGCAGGATATGCATAAGCAAAAGTTAAACTTGGTTCAGCCTACTTATTGAGCTCTTAGATGACTTCTTCAGATTCGGTAGTTCATTATTACAAGTAGGAGACCTAGTAGACCTTTTTTCCCCTATGTCTCAGAAGCCTGCTGGATAGCAACTTCGAGCAAAAGTAATCATCAGTTTGTTGAACATCCGAGCTTTAGAATGTACTCCCTCCGTCCCATAATATAAGAACGTTTCTAACACTAGTGTAGTGTTAAAAAAGTTCTTATATTTTGGGACAGAGGGAGTAGATCAGATGTGGATGACCAGGACTAAGATAGTGGTGCTTACACAGCCAGTGGTAGCTTGGGAGGGAACACTATTGATGTACTGGTTTCAGATTTGGAATACATTTACACTAAAAGAAGACCATTAGGACTTAAAAAAGAGAACCTAGAGGTGACCACAATACCAGAGAGTAGCGTGGGTTCATCCGAATGTTCAAACTGTACCAAACTGCAGGATGAGATATGTTCCAATTTACTTAAAAACATTTATATCTTGGCACTAGCAGTAGAGCATTAGGACTTCAAAAAGAGACCCTTAGAGGTGGTTTTACAGATGTCCAAATGTTACCATGTTAGTTTAGTCTACTTGCTGTATGAAAAAATATAATATACCTTGTCGTGGCTGTGGAAAGCTCACAGGACAACACAAAACCTTCCCACCTCCATCCTCTGCCTCGTCGTTGCTAAGTTCAGCAAAGAAGAGTTCTGGATGTCCATCTCTTCGACTTGCCAGAAAATTAACATGAGTATGTTGGTATATGTAAACGGGTTTGTGACCATCCATACAGTACTCAGGGCCAGACACATTATTGTTGACGCCACAAATAACATGAAGATACAAGGGTTCCTGCAGGTGGGCAGAGGCAAGGAGCGAATCAATGAGTGCAACATGCAAGGATGATAATTAGAAGTAAACACACAAATGTCAAGATGAACTAACTCTGTATGAGGCAAGCGCTGCTTTGACTTTCTTTGAGATTCTTGTATACTCGTGCATCCATTGGTCAATTTTATATTCAACACGACGGCAGAGCTTGGGCATGGGAACAGATTGACGCCGCAGCGAACTGCCAAGGGCGGGGAGTCCGTGAAACATCTTTCTGGTAATGTGGTCAACATCAGCAGAGTCGAGTGGAGCATTAATCCTCGGACTTGAGAATGGATACTTGCATGAGGAAATAAACTCTGCTTGCGCGACAGGGTCAGGGTGCCAAGCAGCCACACCGGCAACCCTGAAACTATTACAAATTTTGTTTTGATCGCCGAAGTCAACCAAAGGGTTCGAAAAGTTCATATCGCCCAGAGTGCAATCAGAAATAAGCAAGAAGCGCATGGCTTCATAGAGTTTCTTGCCGGAAGCGCAGAGGAAAGAAACAAGGCCATAGAAGGAGCGAGCCTCGATGCGTAACAGACTATTGGTACTGATCATGTCAAGCTTGAGTTTTTTGGTCGGTGGGGAGACGGAGTTATACCAGATTGTGTTGATAATGATGTTGGCAACAGGATCGAAGGGGCCATAGCAGTGGCCAGCCTTGAGCATGCTGTGGTGGTAGCAAGACCGGAGCTCAGTCACCGGAAGCAGGGCAAGTGCCTTGAGGTAGAAAGCGTGGATGCGCTGGAGGAGCGCAAACTTCATGGACTGGTAAGGTCGGTAAGGCACGACGGAGGATGGCAACTGTGGGAGCTCGAATGCGCGCTTCCAAGCAAAATCAAGGGGTTGCACTGACATGCGAGGACGCTTGCGAGCATGGTGACGTGGGTCGAATACAGAGGTGAAACTATTGATGTCATTCTGGATCGCGTGGACAGCTTCTTCCAGAGGGCGAATCGGCGACAGCCAGGTGCTGACTAGGTGCTGGGGATTCATGTGCTTAGAGGCCCGCGCCGCGCACATTAGGGCCGTGCGGACAACGGACCTGCTGGTATCAGAGTTGATATTGAAGAAAGAGAGACACCGGTCATGCACGATGAGGCGCATCGCGTAGACGAGGTCGGTGTCGGCGTGGAGCAGGTAGCGCACGGCCTCCCACTCCGCGAGGTAGCGGAAGAAGGAGACGAGGAAGGCGACAAGGCCGTCCAGGGAGCGCTCGGCAATGTCCCGGTGCTGAACAGCCTTGATCTCGTCAGCGCAGAGGTCGGAGGCGCTGAGGGTGTTGTAGATGATGTTGGTGGTCGGGTCGAGGAGGCCAAAGGAGAGGCCGGCGCCGACGAAGATCTCCTCTTTGAATGTCGTGGCCATGGCGAGTCGCTTCTGGGCATGATCATACGAGTCGATGATCTTCTTGAGAAGCTCCGATCTCTCCCGACGTTGAACCTCGAGCCGCGGATCCCAGCTTGAGGGCTTATAGATGCGCTCGGTCGCCGCCGGCGGCGGCGGCGGTTGATTTGGGAGAGGCATCTGGGAGGGGATGAAGGAACCCTAGAATCCCCTTACTTTCCCCGTTCTCTCCCCCACAATATTCTTCTTTTTTGTTTTTCTTGAGAAGAGTCCCGATCAGACCTTGCCAAAAGGGCCGGCCCGGCACGGCACGGCCCGGCCGGGCCGTGCCGGCTCACGGGCGCTGCTCCTTGGCCCAGGCACGGCCTGATT